TTGAACATCCTTTCATGTGTTTGTTGGCAATCTGTATCTTCTTTGGAGAGATGTCTATTTAGGTCTTCTGCCCATTTGGGGATTGGGTTGTTTGTTTTTTTGATATTGAGCCGTGTGAGCTGCTTGTGTATTTTGGAGATTAATCCTTTGTCAGTTGCTTCGTTTGCAAATATTTTCTCCCATTCTGAGGGTTGTCTTTTCATCTTGTTTATGGTTTCCTTTACTGTGCAAAAGCTTTTAACCTATACAATTTTATGAGCGCTAGCCTGGACCACTCAATACCAACATTTGCCTGGATGACCTCCCATGCCCACTGAATCACATATAGAGACCCCAGAAGTCCTTGCCAGGGCTGGTCTCTGGAATCAGTCAAATCCTCCCAGACCATTTCTCACGTTGAAGCATAATAATGGCTATGGGGAACTCACCTGGTCAATTTCTCTGTGCATCTGTCCAACGAGCCCTAATAAGGGACTGGAGATTCATCTCCCCAAAAGTTTAACATGTTGCAGAATGAGTAAAGCATAGAGAGATGGCTAAAAGAATCCATCCCACAGTCAGTACCTGGTTACTCTACAGGCACATATGGCAATGACCAGAGGAAGGAAAAAGGAAAAGAAAGCAGCTGCCAGAAAAATAAAAAGTCTCCTTCTCCAGCTTCCTTCACAGTAACTTTTCCTCTGTCCTCCTTCTGTACCATGAGCGCTGTAGCATCCTTATCTCTTTGGCCTTCATATGCTTAGTCTTATTTTTTAAGCACCATACTAAGTATTAAAATCTGGCAAAATAATTATTTACAATAGCCAAGGTATGGAAACAACCTACGTGCCCATCAATGGATAAATGGATAAAGATGTGAGATATAGGGCTTCCCTGGTGGTGCAGTGGTTGAGAGTCTGCCTGCCAATGCAGGGGACATGGTTTCGTGCCCTGGTCCGGGAAGATCCCACATGCCACGGAACGGCTAGGCCCGTGAGCCATGGCTGCTGAGCCTGTGCGTCCGGGGCCTGTGCTCCGCAACGGGAGAGGCCACAACAGTGAGAGGCCCGTGCACCGCCAAAAAAAAAAAAAAAAAAAAAAAGATGTGAGATATATGCATATATATATAATGGAATACTACTCAGCCATAAAAAAGATGAAAATTTCGCTATTTGCAACAACATGGATGGACCTTGAGGGTATTATGCTAGATGAAATAAGTCAAAGAAAGACAAATACTGTAGAATTTCATGATATGTAGAATATAAAAAACAAAACAAAACAAAAGAAATGAACAAAGCAAACCAAACAGGAACAAACACGTAGCTACAGAGAACACGGTAGTGGTTACCAGAGCGGAAGGGCCAGGGGAAGGAGGGGAGGCCAAAATGGGCAAAGAAGATCAACTGTATGGTGACAGACGGAAACTAAGTTTTTGGTGGTGAGCATGCTGTAGCATATACAGAAGTAGAAATATAACGTTGTACACGTGAAACAGACAATGGTATAAACCAATGTTACCTCAGTAAAAAAATAAATTTAAAAAAATCTGGCAAAATGGTTGCTATAAACAATAGATTAATATAGCTTTGTAGGTAGTATTGTAGCAAGTATTTTCTTAGTAACAGCAAGATTCAAATTCACTTGGAGCTTATAAAAAGCTGAGGAAAGAGTAGTTTCTTACTCCAAGTTATATCCCAAAGACTACTGACTGGACAACTTTAGAAAATATATATTAGTACAGAAAGTTCAAACACATACAGAAGTTATAAGGAAAGTTAATGAACCAACTTTTACAACTATTACAACTGTCAACTGACTCATGAATACTTATACTCTTATCCTCCCACCAGAGGTATTGTGAAGTTAAGGCCAGACGTACTATCATTTCATACATAAATATTTCAACTCATATCTCTTATAGATAAGATTTTAAAAATTATTAGCATAGTATCATTAAACCTCTAAAATGATTAATTCCTTAATCTAATTAAACATATAATTTTCAAATTCCCCAAATGTTTTATTTGCTTGAATCATCAACAAAATAAGTTCCCTACATTGGAACCGGTCTCTTAAATCTCCTTGAAGCTATAGGTTCCTCTACCTCCTTCCTTTCCCCATCTTCCCATCCCTTGACATTTATTTGTTGACGAAATTGGCCTGTAGAAATCCCCACAGTCTGGGTTATGCTGATATACTCCTCATGGTGTCATTAGGGTGCCTTTTTCCCCTATATTTCCTGGAAATTGGTAGCAAGAACTACAGGCTTGATCAATTCAGCTCAATTTTCTGGCAAGACAACCTTATAGCTGGTGGTACTATCTGGTTTTCTCTCTTTCTGTGATATTAGCAACCACTGATGGTCACTGGCTATATCCCTTAATTCATTAGAGACTGCAAAATTGTGATACAGTGACATTCTATCATTCCTCCATCTTTTAAGAGTTGGGATATGCCAATAATTAGAAACTTATCATCACCAACTACTTGGTTACTCTAAGCTACAGTTCATATAGGAAACGCAGGGAAAAATACTTGAGTCTTTCCACTTATTACCAGTTTTCAAAATGAGTTAATTTACTAGCATCCCCCAAAGCAGACCAACTATTAGTATTTTTCTTTAGTATTATTGTGAGCTTCAAATTTAAATATATTTAATGTGTTTCAATACATTGTAGATATTATTCTTACTGATCCTCAAATTGTCCCATTTTTGGCTCCTGAGTCCTTTAAGACGCCCTCAGGAGTTTTTGATAACTGTTTTCCTTTCTAAATTGACAAGATGTTCCAAGCTCATCTTGTACATTTCCTGCCCCAGACCTGGAAGTAGCTATTTTCCAAGGAGCTTTGGTTTACTTTAGTAGGAAATGACATTAGATACTATAGTCTCATTGTTAGGGGTGCTCATTGCTAGTGGGTTTGTCATTTTTCCAGGCCCTGCCGTGAAAAAGAGCTAGAAAATTTACCATCACAGGATCTTTCCTTAACCTTAGCTATCTTTCATCTGTTTTTCCTTTAAACCACACTCAAATGCTGGATTCCCAATAATATCATCTTAATCACTCATTTGCTTTATCCCATAATTTTAAAAAACCTTAGAATAACAATACCAACATAACCACTATAATACTATTACTCTAAACAGTTTAAGATATTTTTAGAGATGTCATTGTCCTTTAATTACAATCTAGTAGCAACAGATAGTCAAGTTTGTTGACATCTGAAATAGCCCCTCCCTGCATGGTTGTTATATCAGCAACTCAATATATAATTAGGTTCTCCTATTTCAATTGGTTTCCATTTTTAGGGATCTTTTAAAATTAAATTCTGTGTTAAAATTATGCAAAATATGTATATGGTTCCAAGTTAAGGAGACAAAACAAGATGTATTCAGAGAAGTCTAGCTTCTGCTCCTCTCTCCACCCACCACACTGTTTCCTCCATCACACTACAAATAACCATTTTTTTGTTGTTAAGTTTTTGTTTTATCCTTTTTTAAAAAAAATTTCCAAATATTAGTATTCTCATCCCTTTCTTCAATGAATGATACACACTATATCTATTAGTCACCACCCTGCTTTTTTCCCCTGAAAGTCACTCTACAATAGTATAAAGAGACACTCTTCATTCCTTTCTATAGTTGTGGATATAGTATATGTTATTCATCAAATTGTGTACTGACCAACAGATGGATTGTTTCTAACTTTTGCTATTACAAACACTGCTGCAATAAATAGCCTCATATGTGCAACTTTTCTTATTTTTGCCTTGAGATAGGATCCCTAGAAATAGAACTGCCTGGCGAAAGGGTAAATATAAATGTAAGTTTTCTAGGTATTGACAAGTTCTCTCCCCTAGGTCTTATACCGTTTTGCATTTCCTACAGCAATGTTTGAGAGTGCCTGCTTCCCCCCATTCCCTCCACAGTCTCGTCAACAGAATAACTTGTCAAACTTTTTAATTTCTGTCAATAAGATTGGTAAGAAATGATGTATCAGTGTAGTATTAATCTGCATACTTATTAGTACAAATATTAAATAGCTTTTCATACGTTAGAGGCAATTTGCCGTTCTTTTTCTGCAAACCATCTGTTCTTATATCTTGCCCATTTTCTTGCTGAGTTGATAGTTTTCTTATTCTCTATTTTTTAGAAATACTAACCCTTTGTGATTAAAAACTGCAAATACCCTTCTCCAATTTGTCATCTTTTTTACTTTATTTATTATGTTTTCAGCTATAATAAAGTTATTATTTTTACCATAAAATTTATCTATATTTCCCTTATTGCATCTGGATTTTGAGTTGTTGTTAGGGTGTTTATCCACTTCCAGGTTCAGAGGAATTCACCAGCCTTTTTCCTAGTACTTGTCTGGTTTCATTTTTGTATATTAAGTGACTGATTCACTTGTAATTTATCATTGGGATAGTACAAAGACTAAATCTAATATCGTCTTCCTTCATTATTTAAACACTAAATATTCATGTCTATTTCCTCATTTTCCATTCAGTTCTGTTAGTCTGTCTTTTTAAGCACCAATACCACAGTTTTTATTATAAAGGCTTAATAACATGTTTCAATATCTAGTAGGTCTACAGCTCTCCTCTGCTGCTCTTCTTTAATGAGAGTTTTTCTTATTATTCTTACTTATCTATTCTTTCCAATGAAATTTATAATCAGCTTGCCTAGCTACAGGAAGCACACACAAAGAATCATTATAAAGTCACAAATTAACTTTAGGGGATTGACAAATTTATGATGTTGAAACTAAAAGCTAAGAATAAGAACTAAAACTTGGAAAAAAGCATTAAAATAGTTTACCATTCTCTGCTTGTGAAAAGATACAGGCTGAACCCAGAAAACCTTTGCTACATTACCATGAGAAATTTTTATTTAAACAATTAAGATTAATAAGCAAAGGAACCAATCATTTCATGTATATCATGTATTGTGTAAACCACCTGATTAGGAAAACATCAAAATGATCAAATAAAACAGGTATTAGAAATGCATTGCTCACCTTCCTTTTTCAGCCATTTCACAATGTTCCCTTCTTCCATTGTAGGAGACAGTGATGGCATTAGTATCGTAATAGGATCAGCTGAAATTGAAAAAAGGAAAGATTAAACACAAAAAATAATGCACCTCATGAGGCAGCAACAACAAGTTCAAGTAAATTAATATCTAATTCAATTTGAGAAAAAAAATATTCCACAGTCTGAAAGACACAAAACTGGTCAAACTAAGTGTTCAGTAATCTTTTCTGGGTTTTCAACTCCTTTTTCATAGTTCCCCAAGCCCTCTATGCATATTTTCAAGCCAGGTGCTTACAAGATTAAAAAAAAGAAAAGAAAAGCTGATTTATGTTTCATCTTCTTCTCCTTCCCCTTTTGTTGCTGCAAAAAAATATTTACAAGTAGAATGACCAAAGGAAAAGACACACAAAAAAAAAAAAAACCTAAAGTTCTGATAACCTACAACAGAAGAATTATTAGACTTACAACAGAATAATCAAGATTAAACTTTAGAAACTGGTTGTGTTTTTACTTTAATCTAATATTACACTATTCAGAAATCAAAGGTTCTTGCTAAGTGTGAAAAGCAGAGGTTTGCTTTGTTAAGAATGATAGGGTAAGTGAACTTAAGTAGTTAAATTAATCTCAGATTGTGTTTCATACCACAGTTCAGCTAGGGATCCAAAAAGACAGACTCAAACCAGGGTGACCTCTCAATAAAGCATAGCCACTTTTTCCTTAGATATCAAAAAAGGAGACACACTATATATTTGGCCAGATGTGCTTCCCGATAATTCCACTGTCCAGGACCATACTTAAAGAGCGCACAGCTGTTAGATTACAATTTACATAAAGTTTATACTAATAAAATAGTTCACAGAGTGCTCCAGTTCTTATTTAGCAGTAGCCATAGTAACAAATTACACTGCCTGAAATCTTCCACAAAACCTATTCTCTCCTCAGATTATTCAACTCTCTGACCCAAAAAAGCAAAATACACCACATCTGACATAATTCAAATGTGGAAAAGGGTAGAATAGGGCTTTTTTTCCCCATTGATGTTTTAGGGTTAAAAATAAGGGAATTGATATCAAAAAAACAAACAACCCAATCAAAAAATGGGCAGAAGACTTAAATAGACATTTCTCCAAAGAAGATATACAGATTGCCAACAAACACATGAAAAGATGCTGAACATCACTAATCATTAGAGAAATGCAAATCAAAACCCAGTGAGGTATCACCTCACACTGGTCAGAATGGCCATCATCAAAATATCTACAAACAATAAATATTGGAGAGGGTATGGAGAAAAGGGAACCCTCTTGCACTGTTGGTGGGAATGTAAATTGATGCAGCCACTATGCAGAACAGTATGGAGGTTCCTTAAAAAACTAAAAATAGAACTACCATATGACCCAGTAATCCCACTACTGGGCATATACCCTGAGAAAACCATAGTTCAAAAAGAGACATATACCACAATGTTCAATGCAGCACTATTTACAAATAGCCAGGACATGGAAGCAACCTAAGTGTCCATCAACAGATGAATGGATAAAGAAGATGTGGCACATATATACAATGGAATATTACTCAGCCATAAAAAGAAACAAAATTGAGTTATTTGTAGTGAGGTGGATGGACCTAGAGACTGTCATACAGAGTGAAGTAAGTCAGAAAGAGAAAAACAAAAACCGTATGCTAACATGTATATGGAATCTAAAAAAAAAAAGGTTCTGATGAACCTAGGGGCAGGACAGGAATAAAGACGCAGACGTAGAGAAAGGACTTGAGGAAAAGGGGGGGGGGGGGAGGGTAAGCTGGGAGGAAGTGAGACATCAGCACTGACATATATATAAAATAGATAGCTTGTGGGAAGCAGCCCCATAACACAGGGAGATCAGATCGGTGCTTTGTGACCACCTAGAAGGGTGGGATTGGCAGAGTGGGAGGGAGGCTCAAGAGGGAGGAGATATGGGGATATATGTATACATACAGCTGATTCACTTTGTTATATAGCAGAAACTAACACAACTGTAAAGCAATTATACTCCAACAAATATGTGTTAAAAAAAAATAAGGGGGGCTTCCCTGGTGGCGCAGTGGTTGAGAGTCTGCCTGCTAATGCAGGGGACACGGGTTCGAGCCCTGGTCTGGGAGGATTCCACATGCCGTGGAGCAACTAGGCCCGTGAGCCACAACTACTGAGCCTGCGCGTCTGGAGCCTGTGCTCCGCAACAAGAGAGGCTGCGATAGTGAGAGGCCCGCGCACCGCGATGAAGAGTGGCCCCCGCTTGCCACAACTAGAGAAGACCCTCGCACAGAAACGAAGACCCAATACAGCAAAAATAAAAAAACAAATTAATTAATAAACTCCTACCCCCAACATCTTCTTTAAAAAAAATAATAATAAGGGAATTGAATGCTAATGTTAAATGTAGTTAAATATTTCCTTTGGGGAACTGAACTAATGTTATTGTAATTTCAAATGGAGAGTTCCTATGGCTTCATGGTAAAGAAGTGCCATTTCTGAAGCATTTGGAAGGAAGCTTTTATCCTCCCGTCACTGTTCATTCACTCCCCTCTAAAGGACTGGGAAAAGGATCCAGGCAAATACAACTGCCTCAGCCTTTTCCTCATTTTAAGACCTGTCTGCCTATAGGGAACCTGTATTTTCCTTTCAGTTCTTCTATGCACTAGGCATAAATGGACCTGCCTTTCAAAGGCAGATAGTAAGCCCACCTCTCTCTATTCCTGCCATCAGGGCCCAGTGGGTGCTGGGAAGCAATTCAGGATGTGTGTTTGCTTTGTATACACAAACTGTCTCTCTCAAACAAAAGCCCAAAGTCTAAACAGGGGTTGTACTGAGGAGTCCAACTGCAGAAGGCCACAGATATAAGGCACATTTTCCAATACAACAAAACCATCAACATTAAAACTGTTACTTTGATCTCCATCTGTCTGGTTTTTGCCTTCTCAATTGGTACCAATCTACAAGGATAGAAATGTAGAATCATCACTCTCAATACCCCAACAATGATAGAGCCTGAACCAAATTCTAAGTCAACACGCCCACTTCATCAATGAGAAAACTACAATCCACTGATTAAGGGATTTGAATTCTGCCTAACTCTCAAGGCTGTCCTCTCCTACACTGTACTACTGCTCATCGTTAATTGATTATCCTTACCAATATGGATTATCACCTAATTAATCATTGGTTATTTATAGCCTATTCATCCAGAAATTCAAACAGAACCAGACATATCGAATCCATGTGAGCATTCTTCACGTGTCCAATCAAGCAGCCTAATAATCCCTCTCTATCAAAAAGTTCAAGCCTGGCGCTACGAGACGCAATACTTCAAAATCACATACACAGTAAATTTATACATCAAATAGAGTTCCACTACAAAGAGGCAAAATAAATGAACTTCTATGATTCTATGCCCAGATTCCAATTTATGACAAATATCAACTCAGTTCTCTCAAAACAAAGTCTCTCTTCAATATTTTTATACCTTGGTTCTAGTTGCCATGATACAATTAATATTTATTTTATGATTCTCTCTCCTATTACAATCTCTCACCTACGAGACCTTCACATTTTTCCTGACATTAAGTACTTCATTATGAAACTTTTTGCGTTTTATGAATTACCACATCAAGAATCTTAAAATTTTTCATATTTAAAAAATAAAAAGAACATAATCACTCCTCATACAGCCACCCTTCATAGATGAGTTGAAACTGCTTCTCTGAATGACAATAAAATATAAAAATTCTGTAATAGATCATTATCCTTACTCTGAAAGGAAGGTGACAAAAACCAAAGAAAGACATTTTGGACATTTCCATTTTTCGGTACTATCTCTTGATTGCTTATACTGACTTACATGGAGAGTACAATGTGCAATGTATTTTCTGCTAAATCTAACTAACCTATCCTCAGATGCTCATGCTAGAAAATTATTTTTAAAAGGAAGCATTAATTTACTAATAATAATGCATATTTCATTCTAGTATATCCTCTTTCAACCTGAACATTATATACATCTTTTCCAAATATATTTTTTCCAGTGGGAAAGTAATTATATAATCATAATATCAGTTTTGAATGACAGGGCTGCATATAACTAATATCTGGCCTTTATGGCTGCCATCAATTCTACTGAACATAGTGTGGGCTTTTCTAGACTCCTTGGAATTTTAACCTACACATAATGTTGTTTAATTTCATTAGGAATTATACGGAGTTTCCCTTCTCATTCCAATAAGCAGTACATTCTACCTTTTTCCTGTCAAACTGAGGAGGCCTTGAAATGGGCACCAATTACAGTTCCCACTCATAACTGGACACAACTATAAGAATAAAGGAAATGCAGTTTTTTACTCCACTGGTCATACAGGTTATTTCAATTAGTACTCAAAAAATACCCCAAATTTTGTTAGACTTTAACCCTTTTGTAGTCATTTTAGTGTTCTATTTCTTTTCATCAAGCTAACAAAGTATACCTAACGGCTTATAAAGTCTGCCCTTCTATAGCAGTTAAAAAACATATTTAAAAACTTTTAAGGTAACTACCGTAATGTACGTTGTTCCAGTTTATATTTAAATATACTGATTTTAACAGCAGAGTCTCACAAATCCGTCACAACTGTCTTAATCTCTTTTTTTATTGCCTCAATATAATGACACAATAAGTTGAAAATTTTCACTCAGTATATTGCTGCTTTACCTTCCTTCTCAGGCACATGAGCAAATGATCAATCACTGAATCTTACAGCAAACTACACTAATCTAATTTCTTGTTCTCTAGAGGATTTCTTTTATCTCAAAACACTCGTACTTCAGCAAAACCTATAAAAGCTTTAAACTGATGATCTATACATCAATTCTAAAAGGTTTCCAGATTAAAAAAAAAAGATTAATATAAGCAAACTCTGAAAATACAAATGCAGAACAAACAGCTTTGTGGCTAATAATGAAGCAGATCTAAGCCCCATTACTCTGACTGAAGTAATTAAGGAAATTCCACAATTTACTTATGGTACTGCTTGGACGTCATGCTCTAGTCCATTT